CGTAGAAGAGACATTGTAGTTTAAAATAAGTTTTATATTTAAAAAAATATATATACATATACAATATTTCTTTGCGAACTTAAAAAACAAAAACAAAACACCTAAAACATGCTTTCATAAGACTTGTAGGACAAAGTACATAGATCATATGCAAATAGAGCATATGAGGAAAAATAATGAAAAGAAAATACAAAAAATACTACAGAAAAATATTATGAGAAAACTTTCAATAACATGAAAAGAAAAACATAAGACAAAATAACCTATACGAAAGAAGTTGTTAAGATGTAGAAAACAATAGATACAAATAATATAATTTGAGAAAAACACGAAATTGGAAAAAGTTTCAAGAATGCTAAATATTAGATCCTTTGACACAGAGCAATAGTTGAAACTTGTGCCAGGTAAACACATTAAAGGAGTATGTTAATTCACATGGTCTGGAGGGTAAGAAGTGCCAAAGTACTTTGAGAGGGCGCTCTCACGAGGACAGGCCATAACTGAGAGATCAGATTTATGAAAGTTGCAACTTACCACAGATACAAGGTCTGAGGATGTATCTACAGACGAATTGGCTACATCTTTTAGGTCCTCTCTCTTTGGCACAATTTCCCTGTCCAGATCATGTTACAATCATTTCCCATCCTGTGTGGCCGGTTATAGGAGTCCATATACATCGTTCGCATAAGATAAAATTATAAAATAAGTATTAAAAGGATTAAAAAAAATACAACTTAATAAAATCTCTCTGATATTGAAATAACAAAAACAAAACCCTTGTAGCAAGATACATGATATAGACAAATTGGTCATGTTACAAGGCATAAGCAATTTGAGGGCTTTACCTCTACAATAAGATGATCTCTAACTCAAATCCACAACGACCATGGGTCTTATTCTACTTGATTGCCAAAAAGCACAATAGGAAACTTATTCAAAGAAGAATATATATGAAATGAAGCAATAGAAGCAATTACTACAAAGCAGACCAATGACACATGAAACAATTCTTAAGACTTGCCTGTAACAACTTTCATCTGGCTTCTAATTCAACCTGAGCAGCTAGTGGTTAATAGCTACAGTGCACCCTTGGCAAGCCTTGTAATATCCTCGACAAATTTTTATATAACTGCCAACCATGGATCCCTGACCTCTTACATCCCTTTGTCTTCCTACAACTGCATAGATGATTAAATGCTTTTGTTTCATCGAATTCAGAGCAGAGATACTAATAAAAAAATCAGCTAAACCAAAATACAAAAACTCTTAAACCCAAAATTTTGAATTCAAAAAAAGAAAGTAAGAAGAGATGAAGCATTGGTTACCTGCATGTACTGTGTTAACTGATTTCATTGCGAAAGTTTTTGGCAAGAAACCATCTTAACTCATGTCATCAATATATTCAAAGTAATCACTAGTGCTGCAATCTCTGATATGCTTGACATAGATGCAAATCTCTGGACACAGCAAGCAGTACATTCATGCATATGATTCACTAATTGATTGATATACTAATAACACAATGGCAAAGGCAAAATGAGAAAGGATAAACCTTGCATTATCTACGTTCATAAAACGTTGAGGGGGAATAACTTTCTTCTTCACAACTACCCCATCATTCCGAAACAAGAAAAAATCACTTTCATTACAGAGTGATAATATTTTGATAAGCCTGCGGTTCAATTTCATGTCGAAGATAATGAACACACAGCAGCCAGTATCAAGACAAAACGACAAGGATGCAAATTGATACACATGGTAAGGATGGATTAAACAAGAATGAATGATTACATCATTGACACTCAATCTAGCGTATCATCAGAAAACCACCACAGATAGAAGACACAAGGCTTACCAGTTTATCAGCAAGAGCCTGTAATTTATCCACGGGATTAACTTGACAGTAATGCTTTACCGCACATTATCCACATCCACAACCTTATAACAGAGAGGATAAATATAAGCATAAATAGCACAATTAAACTTAACAAAGGAAAATATAAAAGACATGGTCTCCTTTGTGCTTCCACATACACATATATACAGTTGTAAACTTGTAATGATGTCTAAAGCAAATAGCTCTTAAAATCTGTATTACCTAATCAATAGCAGACTATAGATATTATTATTAGAATCAAAAACTGTTGTAGCTGTGTTTCATTGGCTTTAGAACAGAGATGAGGATATATATCAAAAAATCCCTTCAATCAGTATAGGGATTTAGCAAACACTTAAAACCCTAATTTCGAATTGCCAACATGAAAGTAAAGAAGGAGAAGAAGTTTGGTTACCTTCTCCGCTTTCATCGTCTCCCTTTCTCTTGTTGTCGTTCGTTTTTAACTCTGGTTATGGATATCGCGAAAGAATAAGAAGATTTCGAAAATTGGTTACCTTGCTTGCAGTCTTGCAGAGTTGCTTGATGGAACTTCTCGCGTGTCTCCCGCTCGCTCTCTCGCACTCGCTCGTCTTTTCGCTCGGCCCTTGTGATTATTGCATCGTTGCTATTGCTAGTTTTATAATTGCTGAAGCCGTCAAAAAGACGCTAACAACATATGCATATCGCGTCAAATTGTACTGTTGCGTTAAAATGACGCAATGCGTCGATCGGGTACAATCTTAAGTCGGTTATTACTCAAATTGGGCTTTTTTATGGGCCAAGTGTTTGTTAACTTTAATCTGATGCTTACTTGGGCCTGCCATTATTTTCTTGGGGGTAGAAAACATAACACATCAGTTACATGGCTCCAAAATTGAGTCCAACCCAAAAACGGCCACATTAAAAGGAAGGATATTCAAGTAACTTCACACGAAAATTAGGGTTTCATGTGGTACCATTCATTCTTTTCTTTATATAAAGCCTCTATTGTCTTTGGGACTCTCAATCGATTTCTCATTCTTTGATGTAGAGCTATGAAATTAGATCTTGAGCTTTTTAGGTAAATCGTTTTCGTTATTCATATATATAGAATATAGAATTGTTATGTTAATATTTTCATTTTGTTTTTCTTAATCCTTAGAAGAAG